TCGCCGCAGCTTTCCCCATCTCGTGACCGGAACGATGTTCTTCGGCTTCCAGCTTCTTCCAATCTTCGAAGCTGACAGGACGCGGCAAAGAAGACACGAAGCTGTCAGGAGACGACCTTAGATTCAAAGCATGTGGATGGCAACTGTAGGTCCAATATGTCAAACGGTAACAGGCTTCTGTAACAAGTGCCTTACTAGTAGTAACAAGAAGCTATTAGTAATTAGAATTTAATTAGAATTAAAGGAGGCTTCTGTATGCTTCTGTTATCTATTAGGTCCTTCTATCAACATTCCGCACTATAGAACGGAGCGATGAACCCTTGGGATGCCCATGGTCGTGGTTTGCGACCCTTCTTGGACTCTTGTCCGGCACCAGCTAGGTGCTTGCCCACTAAGCATACTAAACATAAAGGTGTGCTGCAAAATCAGCATCTTGAGTTCAAACATGGCAGAAATACGGCATTTTCGATAATTTCGTTATTTGCGTTTGCGTCTCGACGCATCTTGAGCCGAGGAGGCTTTGCGCTTTGATGTTGCAGGTCGTTCCAGAGTCGTGCTGCCGTCTCCTTCGTGAACGGACCCCGACAGAAAGAACGCTCGAGAAATGGTATCACAAAATAGTAAAAACATGATTTTCTACATAATATTACTCAAGCCTTCAACGAGCGTTTGGAACGAAGGCAGATCGTCAATGCGTTTTGCTGTTGCAAAGGTCGATTTCAGTCTCCTGTGCATCCCCGATGTTCGACGCGATGATCCCTTGTGGCCCTCTTTTTAGCCAACCCGAGACATAAAGCCCACCAAGGCCGTCGGAAGATGTCTCGACACAGCCCTGTGTGTGGGGGACTCGGTTCGACTTCAAAGGCAAGCCTCGGATCGCGCTACAGGCACTTGGTGCAAGCTTGGTGGGGATTGCGTTGGTGGACATGGAGAACGTGCATTCTCTGCTTGGTAGTGGCAAGGCCAAGTAGTGCACAACCCAATGAACAAATCCTGTGAAAAAGAAACACATTAGGAGCAAGGACGCTACTCGGGGCTCCTGGCCTTACTACTAGGAGCGATCGGACGCTGAAATAAAAACCGTTTGAAGAACTCCAGGACTCCATTAAAAGGTGTGATATCGAAGCCCACACTTCGCACCACGAGGCCGCAAGAAATCTCAAGTGCAGCTTCTTCTGTTGGAGCGGCCACTTGTCGCCCTGGCTCCCCTTGAAGCTTCATCCGACCCAGACGAATCCCGCGGACGCCACCATCTTCGGACAAGACCTCGCCGGTGGGCCCAAGGCGTAATATGAATGGATCGAATCAACACACACAGAAATCCCATTGGCGTGTGATATAGAGATGTAAGAAATACATGAAGTACATTTTACTAATAGATTAACTTAAAATTAAAATTAAATCAAATTAACTAATAGCAAACATTGTTACTACTAGTAAGGCACTTGTTACTACTAGCGATGCACTTGTTTCTAATAGCTTCTTGTTACTACTAGTAAGGCACTTGTAAGAAATAATACATTAAGTACGGCTCTGGTTGAGATGTGGTTAAAGTTACTAACCACGACCACTCGTCACTGATTCAATTTCAAACCCTTAACTTGCCTCCTGTGGGGATCTCAAGAAGTGGACCCGAAGGATGCGCTTGCTGGTGCTTCCCATCTCCGCGAAGTTCGCCGCCATCCTTGGTGCCAAATACATCTTGAAATGCCAGATCTGCGGCCGACAAGCCTAAAGTGTTGACAAAGCACTCACAAGACAAGACTACTCTCCTTTCACTTGTGAATATTTTTATACACAGTATAGTACTATTTCAGTTAGTTCTAGTGGCTAATATGTCACATATCCATTGCACCATACTGTGGGAAGAAAGGGGTGGAAGAAATATTGCACTGTTCGATTGATCTGAGCGTCTTATCGAGGATGTCGACAGATCGCTTCTTCATGCGACTTTTGGACAGCTCTTCTTCGGAGGCTTCGTTGCGGCACAGGGCCAGCTCCTCAGGATCCACCACAGGCAAGACCTTGCTGCTGAGGGAGCAAACAAGTGGAGCCGACGTGCCAAACGTCCATTACTGAACAGCAAGTAAGTCTGCTTGACGTCTCTTTAGGGTGAGTCACTTCGGTTCATGGGAAGAACCAGCGATTTGGAGCCTCGTGCAAATCTAGATGATCGGAACCCTTGGAAAGGCTTGAACCTCATCTTGTCCAGCCTTTTGGCACCGCTCAAAGATTGAGAAGCGCAACTAATTTGACAGCATTATGCATCATGAATCATAATGCATCATTGTACATGAAGCATTTGGCTTATTAAGCTTATTAAACTTCTAGGTAGGAGGCCATCGCTCTTAGGTTGGAGGCCATCACTAGTAGGTTAATTCTTAATCATTTGTTATTCACTATATGGGATCTGGTCGAAATGTGTGTTTAGCTGGGGGCTCGCTACATAATCTAATTTCGACCCCTATATCATCCTATATCTACTTTTATAGACTTTTGGCTGGACTCCATATGCATCCTTCCACTCTTAAAACTATCTCCGATGGCCTCGTCGGAACACGTGAGCAACTCCCTGAGCTCGGCGTTGGTAAAGGCCGCTTGGACGAATCCACGTCGGCCGACGATGTGAACGGTCCGGAGTCCCGACTTCTGCCAGGAGGCGATCGTGTTAACCTGAGGCGATCGGATTGGTGTAATACCCTAAACCTGCAGCAATCTAAAGAGTATTTCGAGAATGGTGAAGAGCTTATTCTTGGATCTTTGGGTGGTTCTTGATTTCGGTGCACCTGCTACGGTGGCAAAAACATGCAGGAGCTGGGTAAACTTGGTAAACGGTAAGTGATCCACAAAGAACGACTGCTTGAGCCACTGCCAAAACCTCTTGTGTCTCTGGTTCAATGAACATGTCCCCCCAGCACGGTATTCTTGGCATGGAGATCCCAACCTGATTGCCTGAAGAACCAGAGGTTTTGACCGCGGCTTGCAGGAAAACCCAAGGTACGGCCGCTCGTTCCATGTCTGTGGCATCCAGGTCTCTGGGTGGTCGTACGAGCAAACGAGCCACATCCAATGCTACATTTCCTTGACCCAGGACGACAGCAGATTCACCATGCACAGTGCTTGGGAGCTTTAAATCCTGGTAGTCTGGATGTCCATTGTACCACTTCACCTCAGGTGACTGAAGCTGCTGAAACACAGTGGAATTTCACTTGACCTAACTTGCATTGTCACGCATTTTGTTATCAAAAAACATCAAACAAGTACTTCTCGCGCGCTCGCGAATTCAAAAGGAGCAAGTCAAATGAGTAAACACTGATCTGTTCTAAAGAAGAATGTACCACTTCATAGTGAGTTACAAATGCCGGTGCTCCGACCACACCGAAGGACTCTTCCCCCGCAATTCCCAGTAGCCGCTCTCCACTGGCACCAGTGCACAAGACCACCGCATCGTAGAGCTTCCGAAGATCTTCCAGTGATGGCTGGCTGCCAACTTCAATGTTTCCGAAATACCGGAAGCTCGGCATCCTCGAAAGGTCACACCAGTGATCATCGTTCAAAAGCAAACAACGGACCATTCAATTCACACAAGCACAAATACAACGGCTCTTCAAAAAGCAAATTACACAAATGATTATAAATGGACATGCACCGTGGAACATAGTAATACTTGCTTGCACAAAAGACAGCCCATGAGCAAACCATTGTTGAGAGCCGACTTTCAAAGGATCCGTGCGATGACTCCGAAGTCGTTGATCACGTTCTTCACTTCCGGATGGTCCGGCGCCACACCGAAACGTACCAGGCCAAAAGGCGTCGGCAAGCGTTCGAACATGTCGATCTTCAGAGTGTCGCCTGCCTATCTTCTTGCTTCGCTTGCAAACATCAACCACCAGAGTCCAGCGCTGTGTTTCTTTACAAAAATGCTTGGTAGTTGCCATTGCATAGTTTTGATTCAAGGCTCTGGTCCAAGTCAGGATGTGTTTCTTGAAACTAACAGTATCCGGTGGCTCTGCGAAAATAGAGTTGAGGGAAGAAACACGTGGCCCTGACCTGGGAAGGACTGAGTTGGTCAATTAGTTGATAGGTTGCTGGATTCCATCAATCAACCACCCTGGACCCAGGTTAGTCCCCTGAGATTCCAAACGCTGATTTTTCTAGTGGAGCCCAGCAGCTTTGTTCCAAGACCGCATTCTTTTCTGCCATTGAGGTGCATGAAATTTGCAGAGGGAAACTCAGCCGCCGGCCCTGCCTTTTTGAAGAGATATTTGGAGGTGTAAAAGCCCGCTGGGCCACTGCCCACCACAGCGACATGATAGTCACGAGCCGACCTGGTGAGCAGCCGTGCCGGTTTCAGGCTTGGCATGAAGCGCTTCATGATGAGACGCACGAGATGATATCCCAAAAAGGTCCTGCGATGGATGTGTATATCTGTGTCTCAGGGTGTTCGAGTTTCAGCCCCCCCGGATATGGCAGTGTTCTCCTGTCCAGAGTGGTTTCTTAAAGATCTGAATCTTGATAATCTTGTAGTACCTTGGAGCCTTGTGAAGCTGTGGGCCAACCATTCTTGTAGGAGCACTCTGTATCATGTTTGGGTCGTTGATCTAGATGCACAATGCTACTCCTTTCCAAACAAGCAGCTTGAGCCACGTGCATAACAGGAGTGTGGATGCAAAATTATGCAAATCTGTTTTGGCGGGTGAAAGCACCTGCGTGCTGTGGCGGCATCATGTTCGCCAAAAGCAGATCACAAATCACATCGCCTCTACTTTCTTGTGCTTTGCAATTGTTCATAGTTCTTCAAATACATAATTTCAGCCTTAGCAGAAATACAACATTGCAGGCAACTCAGCCTCAGCGACAACAACTCACATTCTTGCCTGAGTCAACCGATCGTAAACCTTGCCCTTGCAGCAAGCTTTCCTCATCAGCACCAAGTACTTTGAAGAATTGTGGCATTGACGTTTCGATGTCCAGGCAGACAAACCGCCAAAGTTCAACTTTCAGAGCGCCGAGCCGAGACACACTGAAGCATCGTACATCTCTGTACCGCAGCGCTGGCGGCGGCAGCCACCGCCATCGCGGTCAAAGACATAGCAGGTCTCACCGTTGTAGGCGGTAGCCTCGCAGCGGTTACGAAGGACCCAGCGGAAAGGATGAAAAGAACATTCGGCTGGCGCACCTTTGCTTGGCAAGCATCCAATGCCTGTTTCTCAGCATCTTCCAAGTTGTCCCTCAGCACTTCACCAAATGTATTTTAGGGTGATAGGCAGGCACTAAAGAAGAATAAAAGCGCTTCAAGGAGACTGCTGGCAGACTGAGCAGACTGCCAGAAGAACATTCGGACTAGTTGAAGGTCTCCAGTCGAGTCCCGTCGCCCTTGTGGACAAGGCGCTGCTTCACAGAGAGCCAGCCTACCTTGCAGGAGGGCGTCATAGCCCATGCCATGTGTTGACCTGGCTCAACATGGGAAAGTCAATGCTCTCAAAGACAAACAAGTGGATTTCGATGTCCAAACATACACAGACTGCACTAGGATGGCTAAGTGGGAATGGGAACCATACCTAGATGAATCTAGATGTACAGGACGACAGGACCCATTTGTGGTTGGAAGCATCTCAGAAATTCCTGGCATTGTTTGGCTTGTCTTCCACCATATTGATGCAAGCATGATCTGGGTCATGCCTGCTGCACAGTAACGGAGCCAGTAGTTGCCTGACAGCGAAAACTTCAAAAGGGTGGTGCATGCAGCTTTCTGGTGATTTTGGTGACCTCTACCTTCGTTTTTTTTCCGGGCACATGCTGTCTGTGATGCAAAGCCTTCTCGTTCTTCAGATTTCACGTCTCGTGGAAGAAAGGTGTCTGAATTGGCTTTAATGAGACATGGTGTCTGGTGAATGATTGCTGATTGCAGAAACAAGCGCACCGTAGTTGGCAGGAGGCCAGTCTTCTGCACACTCGAAGGTCACATTGGGGTTCACCCAGTCCGGCTTCAGCTTGTGTGGAACACAGTTCCTCACAGTCGGCCGCAGAGCGTAGATTCTAAAATTAGATGGTTGCTTCCAAAAAAACATGACACTCAAGATCTTTGAACCTCATCATACTGCAATTTGTGCAATCTACACATAAGTTCCTTGCCCTAGTGGAACTTGAGTATAGTTTGTTGTGTGTGTTGTCGTGTTGTGAATTACATTGCTTGTGGCTTGTGAAAGGGTGGAGACCATCCTTCAGCCCTTCAGCACACCGAGACACTCAACACCATAGGTGAAGACTTGCTCGTCATTGCAGCAGCCTCATTTGCAGTGCCGCAAGGTCGGATTTCATGGGATCAAAGGACTCCAGGAGAAGGGATCTTGCACTGAATGATGGTTCTTGACTAGTAACAAGAAGCTATTAGAAACAAGTGCATCGCTTCTAGTAACAAGTGCCTTACCAGTAGTAACAAGGGCGCTAGTAGGTTTACTTGCTCAGTTCCTCAGCTTCGGGAGACGGGCCATTTCGAGATCCCACAAAAATGTGCCTGCCTTGCTTGGCAAAGGTGTAGACGGAGCTGTTCCCACAGCAGCCCTGCGAGGTCAAGGAGTAGATCTCACCTCCGGTCTCGGAGAAGAGGCTCTTTGGCACAATGGGAGTTACAAACACCAAAGAAGTAAAAGGCTTTTCATTCCAAGGCTCAAGCTCAAACATGCCAAACACATTCAAAAACCATGCACAGTTGGAATGTCCCTCACCTTCTTTGCTGTTGAATTTGCCACCGCACACATTTACGGTACAGCATGGCAACATAATATTGATTTCGCAAATCTTGCAGAGAGAGAGAGAGAGAGAGTAGACTTGGTCAGATTTGTCTCCATCGCGGTCAGAGTTGTCCCAGCCAAGCCGAACAATCAAGCAAACATCATAAATCCTCGATGAAGACTCTTTGAAGAAATAGACATCCAACCCCTGTGGAAATCGGACCATCCAACGGCCTCCGCAGCAGTTCTCTTGAGACTTGTCGTAGCTCTTCCCGCCACAGAGAGCAAAGCTTGGAGGCCCAGTGCTCAAAGTGGCCACCGCGAAGGCCTGAACTTCGCAGGACATGTTCCATGCTTCAATCCGACAAAGCCACAGTAGCCCTCTCAATCCGTCAACGCCAAACCCATATGGCAATGAATGCTATAACTTTCAAGCTCCAGGAGTGACATGAAAGGCTCCATCTACAACAAACAATTCAAGATGGGGGGCTTTCAGAGTCATCTCCATCTGGATGCCAGTGTGGCTCAAGCCTTCAGATTTTGCGATTCACCTCCCTCCCTGGCCTCTTCCAAGGCATCGGAGGCATCAAATGAAAGCCTCACGAAGTTCTTTCCGAACATGCAACAAGGGGTTTCCGTTGTGCAAGAGATACATTGGTGCTTCAACAGGTGGACAGCTGGACTTCAATCAGATTCCTTCAGCATTACAAACTCCACACGTATGCGCAGGAAATCATCTTGTGACTGTGATGTGGTTGCATCTGAGAATCTGCGCTGCCCTCCTTTGTAGAGCGGACATCGCACAGCTCTCCTGCTCCAAGCACTTCCAAGCACTTGGCTTTGCTTGGCTTGGTGTTTACCGGTAGGTTGGAGGCCATCGCTACTAGGTACTTTTGTTAATTAGGCTGTCTAAGCAAGTTACCAATGGGCACCTGATATGTTACTTGGACGAGGGCACCCTAGAATCCATCTTATGCTTCAGCTGCGAAATTTCAATTGCAGCAACTTTCAGTCACTAGATGTCCTCTGCACACTCGTCATCAGTAGCCCTTGCCAAAATTTGGCGCAAGCAAAGGCGTGGCATCGTCAGAATAAGTTACTTCATATCCATATCCTTCCTCTTCGATCTGACGTCCAGCTCAGCAAAAACATGTGCGTAATGTGTATCATGTCAACGTGCCCTGCACTAATTCGTTGATCCCCGCCACTATCAAGTAGAGCTCACTGGTTGGGACCTGTAGTAGAGCTCCTAGTAGCGATGCCAGGAGCCTAGTAGCTTCTTGTTACTATATAGTAGCAAGAATGCTCCTAGAAGTACGGCCAGGAGCCCCTAGTAGCGTCCTTGCTCCTAGTGGCGATGCCAGGAGCCCCTAGTAGCTTCTTATTCTGAATGCGAGAAACAAAAAATGACAGCCATCCGGTTTTAAGCCCCGCGGTTGGGACCCACTCCGTGCCCTGCCTGGCTAAGAGAAGAAGCCAGCAACGCAAAAGCAGCTGCATAGCTGGAAGCGTAGTCAAAGATGGTCAGAGGTTACACCGTGTTACACGGTGTGTTACACCCTGGGACGACAAGGCCTGGTTTCTCTCTCCCTTGTATCAGAACCGATTACGCTACATCAGGTCTAGTCGCTGATCATCTTCCGCCATCGTTGTATTCTCAATCCTCGCTATTCAAGTCGTGTGGGCAGTTGCAACTCGTGTTCTGTTTTTTCTTTCTGAGCACTGAATGATCAAGGCGCTGTGCATCTGTCTCACCTGTCAGACTGGCCATATCGAAATTTCGCATCTGCGCCATCGCGAACTCAGAGCGCACCAACACCAAAACTGAGGGGCTAGCAGTGAAGAGACGAAAAAGCCAATGCCTCACGAGACAAAGAAATCTCCACCTCCGGAAGGAAAACATTCCAATTCAGCATTCTCCGTGTGAAAATTGCTCTAATTGCTCAGGTGAACACGCCGTCGCACATCGGGAGGCAGGCTAGAAAGTATCCTGCCAAGGAGCAGAAAATGATGAATCATGCATAATCATGCAAACTGTTCCTCATCGCCTTAAAGACTCGAGGACAACCGGGATCCAACTTACATCTAATCACTTTAACTATGGCGCTGTCGGTCCTTCGAAAGTCGGCACCCAGTCTTGCCTCGGCAAGCCAAAGAACAAGCGGTGGATCTTGTTGGGATTGCTCGTTCTTCACATCGGGACTTCTTAGACCACCTTATAGACATTCTTCGAATTCTTCAAATTGCCTTAAATCGAGAATTGGTTTGTCTGAAAATGCTGTCCATGGTGCTCTTCGAGCGAATGAACAAAGGATCTTGATCACACTGAGTTGTTTATATGAATTCTCATATGAATTCTTTCTTTTTGCGAACAACAACCTTCTCCTGGGATACTTCAGGGATCTCCTGGACAGAATGATCAAGTCTGGGCCTCACATCCCTTCCCGCCCTTCCAGCCTCCACGGGAGTAGTCTTGGGTAACTCGGCCTGGACAAGCTTAGCGGTGCGCGTGGAACGCTTGAAATGGTCAGCTGTCTCTGCTCACGTCAATTGCACGCGAAGGTAACCTGACGTCACTACATCGGTTTCCAACCCATGTCTCAGATAGGATTCTTGTTACTACTAGTAAGGCACTTGTTACTATTAGCTTCTTGTTACTACCATCATCGCAAAGAATCCAACAAACATTTAGATTTAGACCTCTTTACCAGCGTGACCCAATGGTCTGGAAGCACAAGCTACAGAATCATGGGATGATCTTCACTGTGATTGTTTCCGAACCACTCTGCTGAGCTGTCAACGCCGGCTTTCCCAAGTAAAGCTCTCCGGAATTTGGAATCCTGAACAGTCTATTAGCAAAGCCAAGGCAAATGCAAGGGGTGACACGTTCTTCCGTAGAACACATTTAAATATGGCCACATGTAGTACACTTGAACAAATCACTTCCTCGATATAAATGCACCAAGGAGTGGGTGATCTCCCTAGTAGATTAAGAGCTTTGATAAGCAGGAAGGACACAACGGCAAGAAACAAATCCGTCCAGTTGGTGTGATGATGTGATGGAAATCAACACTCGACTCAATCAGTGCCTTGAGTCCCCAAAGTGACAAAACAGCGCGCCTTGTACATTGGGAAGAGCGGAAACCATGCCTCGCGAGACGCTTAGACTTGGCAAGAGTTGCGATCTGGTGGAATGGGCATCCGGCATCCAATGATTTGCTTTCAAAGTGTAGGCGAAGATTGCAAAAGGCTTGAGTCTCAAACATATCCTTGAATCACACAACAGAAACACTTGAGGTCAGTGAAAAAACACGGTCAAGCTGAGTTCATCTTATATATACGTATATACATGTATCCGTCGTAGGCGAAGAGAGGTCGAATTCTGAGCAGCTCAGCACCACACTGATTGCTTGGCAGTTTGCTCTTCAAGATGTATCTTCAAAGCCCGGTTCTCACCTCACCAGCAACACCCTCTTCAAGTGAGGGGCAGGCATTGTCAGCATTGATTTTGAAGTTGTTGACGCAAATTCTAGGTGTTGAGGTGGATTCGATTCAATAGAGGTTTCACAACATACATCCTGGATCAATTTTGGTCTACATTTCTGTGACGGCTTTTAGCACACCCTGTCCGAGCATTTCTGGGCATGTTGACGAAGCACGATTCATGCGAGACATTCTCCTAGCGGATTCACAAAGCTCTTGCATTGCGTCCGATTGCGTCTAAGAAATCCTCGTGGTTGTGCTCTGCGACGGGAAGAGAACAGCGCCCACTCTTGGTTTCACTAGAGCATTATTGCAACTCGACCACCACATCCAAGTGCCCCTTCGAAGTTGCCAAGTGCAAAGCAGTTGAGCCATCCTGTGTTGCAGCATGTTTGTCAGCTCTTGCTTTCAGCAACTCTCGCACTACTGTCAAGTGACCATTCTGACTTGCCAAATGAAAAGCTGTGAACCCACGGCGTGTTGAAGCATCCTTGTTGGCTCCAGCTTGCAGCAACTCTCGCACCACATCCAAGTGCCCATGTTGACATGCCAAGTGCAAAGGCCTAAAGCCACTTTGTGCAACAACATCCTTGTTGGCTCCAGCTTGAAGCAGTTCTCGCACTACGTCCAAGTGCCCATTTTGACTTGCCAAGTACAAAGCTGTGCAACCATTCCGTGCTGCAGTGTCCTTGTCAGC